TATATATAGACATATATGTTGATCTATATATATACCATATGCGACATACCCCTGGGTCCGTCTGTGAGCCAGTGTACACCGACACACGCGGGTGCATCTTGCCTAGGATTTGTCTGGTGGAGGGGGCAGGGATGACAATGGTGTCCTGGTTGTTGCGACCTTGTGGCTGGTATTGCTTCTGTATTTCGGCAGATTCCAATTCCTCCACATCGTTTTCTGCACGGCCTATGAGACAAGGATGGCACGTGCATGTGTATGGGATTAAAGAAGATGTGATGAGATGATACAAAAACAACAGTGTGGGAACACGGACAAGCGGTGGTAATAAACTAAATCAGCGGAATGTGGTGTGGCAACAACCATGGTATGTGGCAATAATTTAGTCAAGAGATAAGTAAATATAATGGTACGCAAGTAATTGTGTAGCTAGGCAAGCAGTAACACGTGAGAGGCGATGGGCAGAGATGAAGTAGCCTAGTGGGTGGCGGATGCGGAGGGGTGTGTTTAGTGCTGTCAGATTGATGGTATTTCGCAGCCACACAGATGTGTGACGATAAGAAGCCATTGGTGTCAAGAAATACTACATGGGTTGGAATGCATATATACATACGTAAAGTGGTCAACATAGACATCCAAATCCTAGGCATAGGTAATATATTCTAGATGGACTATGTTTCACCACTCCCCTTGAAGCGTGCATACCAATGATGTTGCCATAGGGATCGACCTCAGTCATCTCGTCACGCATCTCCAGGTCATTGACTTCGAAATGTTTGAGTTCGTGAATCTCCATCTTCATCTCAATTAGGTTGTGCTTGATTTTGTCTCTGAGTTCTGGCAATTCTTCCATCAGCTCCAACAAGTCGTGGCGTGTGAGTATGAATAGATCACAGTCTTCGGTGGCTTCTACAGTCACCTACCAAGTGAACAAGGTTGAACGAGTGTTAGTCATATGAGTTTAGTTACTATGAGTGCATTTACTTTCGAAAGAATAGGAATTGAAGCAAGTATTTTCTTAATGTTAGCCCATGGTATCACTAGTTCTGCCCTATATATTTGTTTTACTAATCTATATGAGAGTATAGCAAGAGACTCAGGAAGGCAGCACAAGAGTACTTCATAACACCCAAGGGTGAAACCAAATATGAGTATCAATTTCGACATGCTCACTCCATTGAATTCAGCATCATAGTCATGGCATGATTCAGTATGAGAAACACGCATTGTGACCTCTACATGATTGGAATAACTCTATGAATACAGCCATGAGCATGGATGGATGTAAAAACTTAGATTATATTCTAAATACGCCTGTTAGATACATTTTTTTCTACAGATTGTGTATGGTATTAGACATAGTACTTCTAATTGCCACTCCCATACGTCTTATACGTGAAAACAATTCAAATTGTCAAAAAAGTAAAGTATATGGATATACAAATACACGTATAGATATAAATACAATTATAAGCAAATATAAATATAACATATA